TAGCCACTCCAATTAATAAACTTCGGTCACTGTTACGTAAAATCGACTCCACAATTCGGCGGTAAGTCGATTGGCTTCGGAAGGGTCTTGCATGTGGCGGTAGATGCGTGAAAAAAGAAACATAAACCTAGAAAAATTTATTTGCCATATTGATACATAAAAGGTGCTGAAAGAAAAGAGAAGTAACAGAAGATCAGCTAGATTCGAAAATTTCCCAGCTGCTCCAACTCTTTTTTAGTGGGATGGACACTGTTTTCAAAGGAAACTGTTTCCTTATTGCAACTAAATAATTCCCCTGCTGTTGAGGGCAAATTGTAAAGACACCTACGTAATTGCTGGGACTTGCCAGGTGCGAGGTGAATGAATCCGCATATGCAATAGCGTGCCTTTTTACCTGTTCAAAAGTGCCGAAGAACAAGGTTGGAGGTTAGCAACACTCAAGTGCCGTTTCCGTATTCCGCTAGCGCTACCGCGAATTCAGCTACACGCCTAACTATAGCCGAACGCCCTACTTGCCTGAGACATCTCACCTCTGGTTGTTCTCTGCGTCTGCCTGCGTGTTCGCTGCAGCGGACAACAGTTGTCGACTGGATTCCTCAGAATGTCCACCGAACAACATGATAACCGTGGCTATAACCTGAGTTCTTCATGAAAGCTTCGTGTGAAAGAAAGGCACAATACCGGTGCGTTGAAGGCTCCCAAGAATAGAAGCTTAGAAGGCCTTCTAAAAATGCAAATTTGATCAGAAGGCGGACATTTCTTGCACTTATCTTATTGCTATTGCCTTCCTGGTTTTGAGGATCTTTTTAGGAGCAAGAACTGCAGCTGCTCCGGTATTCTTTTCAGAAAAGGCATGAATCAGCGAAAAGCCGTTCATACTCACGAACTTAAAGATATTGTGTGGTGTGAATAACATACCAATGCTTTAACTACTGCTTCAGAGTGGTGGAGGCAATTCGACGACAGTTCCGAGCTTTAGCAAATCTTACTAATGTATGTAAACGTTTCATGAAAAAGCCGTATGCAATTGTGAGTACATAACATAGTGACACTGATCACTTGGTTCGAGATTGTCAGCTATCCTAAATGTGAAAACGTCCAGATTTCAGTGTCCCGCCGTAAGCATCAAGTTGGCTTCATACTTTGCGTCATCATCGCATCCAGGGTACAGCATGGGGATGTGTCAAATGGCGGTGTGGGTACGACCCCCCCCCCCTCGAAGAGGGTCCAGATACGACCCCCCCCTCCTGCTCTAACTGACAACCAGATGCATGTTCACCACAAATGACTTCCTGAAATGGAATCTGGATTCTCGAAAGGCGCACTCTGCTCTAAAATACAGGAAATAAAAGGCTGTTTCAGCCTCATGCAATATGAGGCTGAACAACAGCCTCGCATTACCTACAATTTTGTCTTAGGATTCAAAATAAAACTCCTCGTTCGATAACTATGTATGACATGCAACTTGTAACAAACGACAATTGACAATAGCGGGTTAATGGTGGATCATTGATAGGCTGAATCGGCTCTTTTGAAAAAAATAGCCCAAGGTGAGGTGTCAGCCCAGATGTGCATTCAATGAATGGTGACGGGGAAATAATGAAAACATGCACGACACAACAAAGCGAAACATGGAAAATACAAAAAATGCAGAGCTAAATGAAAAAGGATAACCAGGCCGGCAGTAAATCGTTCCATACTTGGCTATTATCGATCAGGCTGCAGGGCGCAAGGCTGCGACCGCTTTCTTTGGAAAAACGTCATTGGAGCGCGGTTGTTGGACTTGCCAACGTCCTGGGGTCTGTTCGGGGGGTTATATCTTTTTAGGTGCGGAGCTTTTGAGGAATGGTGAGCAGCATGCAACGGCAAAGTTTCTACTGTTGTGTATTCTACCTAGTTGCAAACTGAACAATCCCCCGTTGGTGAAATATTCCGGATGGGTTTTGGATAGGCTAGGGGTAAATCGCGAGCTGGTTTCCATGCTTCACGCGAGGATTGCTTCGTTCAAAACGCAATTTCATCAGGATTAAAAAGTCCTGGGACCCCTACATCCTTTCTCTTTCCAACAAGCTCCACGGTTTTTCTGAAGACCCACTAGTTCAGGAGATATTTTAGATGGGTTACCCTTGCGCTACCCCTGAACCACCGAAAAATTGACTCCTTATGTGCCATTGTGAGGATACACCTTTCAGTGTGCCTCCAAAATACATATTTCCCTTCAAATGAGTGGAAGAGGAGCTCGGCTATCACTAATCGGTTTGGTCCGTGCGCCGTGCATTAGGCTCCTACGGAGAGGTGGTGGAAAGGTGTAAATTCTAATTTGCTTTTATCCATGCAAGCAGATGTTTGTTTAGGGTTTGTAAAGGACAACACGCACGAATCTGTTTGAGACGTATTATTTAGTCATCTACGTACTTACGAGTTCATGCTATAAACTGACACTTATTTATTTATTTATTTATTCTTGCTATATTGCTAATAAATCTTTTATTATTTTGTATTCCTATTTACATCCGGGTCTTCTGAAGCTTTCCGTCCGTTCCATTACTTAGCAATGACACCTTTGTACTGTTTGATGCCTAGCGAGCCTACTTTTGCGATACTCCCCACGTCCCCCGCGGCCAAGTACGAACCCATTCTTGGGGATTTCCCATGAAAAGAGGGCTGTTAAACGTAGCATTTAAAGCTGTAAAGAATACACTCATAATAAACTTCATTTTTTTAACATCTTGACTTCCATAGCTCCACTCCCACTATCAACTGAAATGTCGAAGCATTGCCGGCTCTGAGTGACCCTTGAGATTACGACCCCCCCCTCCCCAGCGGCCAAGTACGACCCCCCTATGGGTTTCGCACAACGATGCTGTACCCTGGTTGCGATTATCATAGCGATGGCGTGCCCTGGTCACAACGCATCACCCAAACAACCAAAGAAATCCAGCAAATCCAGCAACTCTAACGAAAATCGCTCATTCCTCCCCATGATAGATCGCTATTGGTTGGGAAAAGCACAGCACAGAAGGTGCTTCACAGCCCAGGAGAAGTATCCACAATTATATTCTAGTTCGCTGCGTATTGAGGGGCGTGTAAAGCAGTATCAGTGCTGATATATTCCTCTTATGGTGCCACCAGTCGTATTGCCCGGCTGACGACAAGCTCTCCTCCTTCTCTTTAGCCCGGCTTCGCCGAGCTGGCCTGGCTTCGCCAGGCGCGCTCCATAGTGGAAACGGAACGCTTTCAATTACTGGGCTGCTCATACGGCGCTGTAATGGTCGAATCGTATCATATACAGCAACCCTGGGGGTCCGGCAGCCCTTAGCACACGCTTATATTTGCGGTACGCGTAATAACGGTACAATACATAGATCTATAGATATAGATACAAAGTGCAGTCGATAAATACATAGCAATATGAACCGCTCAGTAGAAGAACAATTTCTGTTTCCATTACCTGCACCGAAATGCCTACCGATGAAGCTTCCCTTTGAATTACCATGCAACCCGCTTGCTGAAGTACAAATAATGGTAGGTACTATACCCCTTTACTATTCGTTCTCACATAAAAACACATTCGTACATTAATTAAAATTTAGAAGTGAAAAAAGCTATTGAACGCATAAAGGGCGACAATATTCAGGTTCCCGGTTCTTCTCAAATTTTCCTGACTTTCCTATTTCAGGCGAACTATATTCCCCCTCCCCCCGCCTCTGCTCGTTGGCAGTGTAGTG